TCTCAGCAGAAGTTTGTTGTACAAAAACGGCGTGAACTTAACCGACACCCATAGAGAGTATTGCGCCAAAACATAAATGTATTAAGGGCTCTTGTGTTTGTCAAACTTTGCAGACACATGCGACGGCTTCGCATAGCCTTCAAATAACTCCAATAAACTGAAGTAGCATTTAAAAGTTGTTCCTCCCAATTCTGGATTTCATTTTTTTTTTGCTTAAAATGCTTTTCTTTGCAAAAACTTTCTACTTTATCTAAATATAAAGCAAAATGAATTTCTGAACATTAGGAAGACTGCTTTCTAAAAGCAAAAGCTGTAGACAATGCTTCTTTAAGAGTCAACCATTATATGCGTGCTATATTGTCTTGCTGATCAAAACAAATTAAATATGAGTAACAGACAGACAACATAACTAGTTTATTGTGATTCCGCGAAAGATTTTTTTAAAACTATTAGTTCAATTGCTTTTCTATCTCCTGCACAATCGACAGTACAGGATTTGCCTAGTGTCTTGCCCAGATCAATGTACAGAAAATTGCATGCTGTCTATGTTGGCAAGCTGATCCTACTTCAAAGAAAAACGACGGCACCAGCTTGTCATATTTCCTATCAAGGAAATACAAATGCTTGAGGTGATCGCTTCCTCTTATCCTCCACCTTTATGTCTATGTTCTTTGCGAATCAAACTCTAACAATGAGTTCTTGGAGAATGCGTGCAAACGTCTGTCAGTCTATCAATCGAATAAAACAGGTTTTCCATTCAGAACATGAGCGTTCTCTGGTGTCGCGACATTTTATTTTATTTCACATTCTTATCACTTACTGTCACAAGACTTGACGCACTCATAATCCTCTCGTACTGGAGCAACCATATTTGTTTTCTTATGAAGCAGCTTTTGATTTTGTTTCTATTCGGTTTTACTGTGTATGCCGGGAAAGTTCTTGTCTACAGTCCGGGCATCAGTTACAGCCATCTCATAGGTAATGGAAGAATTGCCGATGCTCTTGCTAAGGCTGGCCACGATGTGGTGAGTTTGAAGTACCTATATAACAAAAATCAATATCTAGTTAGCAAATCTTAATCAATCTAGCTTACCTTACCCTGACAATTTCTACAATTAATTTATACTTTGTCTTCCTTTCTATACTCAAGCACTCAGGTTATGTTCATACCGGAATATACAAATTTGGGAACTTTTACCGGCACCAAGTTCGCCAAGGTGTTTAGGATGAACAACATTAGTATGTAAGGATTTCTTTTTCCCCTTTATATGAACAAAATTTTGCAATTTTTAGGCTCTAAAGCGGAGAATCTTATATCCCTTGAAGAGCAAAGGAAATGGATGGAACAGCCATGTATACCACTCTCCGAAAGATATGCCTTCGAATCTGTTAATGCGGCAATGTGCGAAGGTGAGGAGAAAGAATGGGTCAGATTGTTTTTGGGAGATCTTTCCAGCCTTGATGGCTCGACGAAACGAACTGGAAGTGTTGAAAAATTATGGGTTTGACGTCGCATTTGCTGAACAGCTAGATTTTTGTGGAATAGAAGTAATTAGGTGAGCGTTCGTATTCTGCAAAAATGGAGCGATTGCAACC